AGCCCAGTTAACTAAACATACAAACTCATGCAGTCAAAAATAACTTTCTGTAGTAAGTTTCTATGCAAATTGAACACCAACAAGAAAATTCATGGGGAAAAAACAGATACATGTAAAAAAACTCATTTCAAGTCTAAGAAAAATAACAAATAAGCTATGCTTTATATAGTGCAACATATATCTAAAGCTATTTATATTTGCGACATAAGTCATTTTGTCTTAGTTTAAGATTATTATAGACTTTTTCCTGGCGGTTTAGGGTGTTCTCTCATTTGCCGCTATTTGCCGCTTAATATAAATACTTTGGTCTACTTGACTCAGCCTCGTTTTGGATCCAAAATATTTCCTTTGATGTTAACTGAGAAGTTTCTATTTTTGCATTTTAATTATCATTTACTATAATTTTAAATATATAGTATTAGTTATGCTTATATGATAGATTTTATCTATTTGTAAATATTATTCGATTAAGTTTTGCTTATCGAATTGCTGTAAACTTCAATGTTTGACGCAGGGGGTGTACTCTCTTTTTTAACCTCTTTGTCTGACGCTGGGAGAAATTCAATCTCTTCTGTAATGTCAATTATTAATATGGGTGTAACTGCTTTTTGTTTGACGTAGGGAGAAATTCAATCCGTTCTGCAAAGTCACTTATTTATATGGATAATAGGCAGAACTGGCAAGAAAAATTAAATCAAAGTAAACAGTTAGATTCATATCGTTTGTATAAATCTGAATTTATCCATGAGACATATCTGTTGTTTTAATTCGTAAATTTAGAAATGCACTTGCAAAATTACGAACTTCATCACATGATTCAATATTGAAGAGGTAGATATAGACAAGAAGAGAGATCTGAGCGTATATGTAATTTATGTAAAGTTTCAGTAGAAACAGAATATCATTTTGTAATGATATGTACGGCTTATGAAAATTTAAGATCAAAATATTTACCAAGCAAATATTTTGCTAATTCTAATATTCATAAATTGAATATCTTAATGCGTTCTCAGGCTGAAAATATTATAGATAATTTGGCAAAGTTTGTGTTACATGCCTTTGAAGAAAGAAAAAGATTATTATGTATGAAAACATTAATAAATATGATAAACACCACTAGATAGTAACAAGATTTTGTTTAAACATAATGCTATAATGTACTATATTCCATTGTATGAAATTGTATTGCTATGCATATGTTGTTAAGGACTAGAGGCCTTGAACCAATTATCTCTTTTTCATTGTCATTGATATTTTTTTATGTTGACGCAGGGAGAAATCCAATCTCTTCTGCAATGTCACCTAATTATATTGTTGGTACATGTATTTTCTTTTGACACATGGGGGAATTACTCCCTTCTTCTGCAATGTCATTTATTATAAAGATATACTATTTTGACGCGGGGGGATTAACTCTTATCTGCCATGTCACTTATTTATTTTGACACAAGGGTTACATTTCCTTTTGTAATGTCAATTTTGCAATTTACAAGAAAGCTTATTAGACTCGGAGGGAGGCAATCATTTCTGGAATATCAATATACAAGATTCCTAATAAGCTTTCATTTCAACAATTTGTCTGATCCATACAATATGTGATAGTGTTTCTACCTTACATGACAAATGCCCAAATTTCCCTGTTATTTTTGTAATTTTGTTATTACTGCTGCATTGTCTAATATATCAGCATGCCTAAACGAAAACCTTCAAACGCAATTGGGGGCAAAAGAAAAGCTACAAAACAATCAACATCTGATGAAACCTCCGATAACTGCCGGGAAAAAAGATTGGCCTCTCTCATAGTAACAGCTATTGTGAAAGACAAAACAGTTCTGATTATAGATTATCGACATCTTACCAAATTCAGAATTTGGCAAAGACATCGTACAATCTCAAAATCTGGATGGTACGGAAATTGACTCAAATACATCAAAGACCTTGAAGATTCAGCTTCAACATTGCATTGTCCACAGACTCTGTTGTATCTTCAGATTGTCAGGATATTTCTGTAGAACAGCCTGTAGATTTAGGGGTATTTTCTCTAATTCATCCAGTGCTTAGTTCAAAATAAAGAGCAAAAAATGAACAAAGAATATATTGATTTGTCTGAAGTTTTATTTCGCTTATTCAAATGTTTCGGAAACAACAACAATTCAAAAATTCCATAACTCAACCGTGAAGTCGGTACACAAAGCAGCTAAGAAGGAAATCGCCAGCATAATGATTTGGACTAGAGCTTTTCAAATATATGCTGATGTCTACACATCTAAATATCCTTAAGATGCCACCCACCAAAAAAAAGTAAAAAATGTTCATTATAATGTTTATACAAATGGTTCTCATTTCATCAAGTTATCAAAGGATTTCAGGGCTGACCTTAAATTTTGGTACACTTTTCTTGAGAATTATAATGGAGTTACTCTCCTTACTTACGACAGATCTATTTCGTGCGTCTGTATTCAGACGCTGCAGGTTCGAAAGGATTTGCGTTTACTCACCAAACTTCTTGGACTTTTGGCGATTTTCCTGACACTGTAAAAACAATACGTATTAATATCTTGGAACTTTTTCCCGAAAGCATTTACAGTAGTTCAGAAAATACTGGGCAAACAAAAACATACTGTTTGTGTGTGATAACTTAGCTGCTGTCCATTGTTTTAACAAACAAACATTTAAAGACAATATAATGATGAAACTTATTCGTATCATTGTTTTAAAGGCACGTGACTGCTTTTTTTTTTGCTTTCATTTCAATTATATTTCATCCAAAGACAATCTCATATATGACAAACTATCTCGTTTGCAGATCGCCGAAGCTCATCAACTGTCAGGTTTTCCAGATCTATGTTAAAATTTTACCACTCAGAAAATTCTCCTCGGCTGCAGAAAAACAAACAAAAATGTTGACACACGATTACCCAGTTTAAATTCTCATTTAAAGCCATACATCATTTATTTGCATTTTGTTCTTACCTAAGGATTATTGTATAGTGCCATCATTTTGACAACTTATCATGGTTTTTTTCACAGCCACAATTTCTTCAGGATACAAAGTGGTCCTAATAGGTGATGTCTGTATGAACGGTCAAAAAGTCTTAACCACAAAAAACCGGGGAAAACATTTTTAAACCAATAATTGTCCTATTACGCTTTTACAAATTTTTTTAAAATTTAAACGGGGGCCTTATTTAAAAACGTTTTGGGTTGGTTACTCTTTACAAACCCTTTTCCTCCGTGAATTTTTAAATCTCAAATAAATTTTTTTGGAATTTTTTCCCCTGCCCTTTACAACTGACAGTTTCAATGGAGGAGTGACAAAAGCAATAATTTCGGGAAAAACCCTGAGAATAAGTTTTTTTAGGGGACTTGAAATTTCCCCATCCCTTTTTAAAAGATACATAAGAGCAAAAAAGTTTCAACGAAAATATTTTTTGGGGCTTGGGGTGGGGTTTTTCAAATTCCCTCTCAATGCAAAATATCCAAAACTTATGCTACAATACTGCCTTTACGGTTTGAAACATCGACATTATTTAAATACCTAACAGCACTTTTTACATCATTCATACCTTTAGATTTATTGCAGAATTCCTTTTGTTTTCATATTTTTAGTTTAGAAGTTGTCTAATGAAACTACATTCATCTGCTTAGGCTTTTCTCGGTAGAACATCGGGGTGTGTTCTTCTGCTATTACATTTGACTCTTAAACAAATTTAATTTATTATGTGCAGCTTTATTACATACATATATGAATGTGCCATATTTTAGATATTGTGTAAATGCTTTTTATCATCACAATATCAAACTGTGTAAATCTGGTCATAAGACATTGTGAGGGTATATCTTTTTTGTTTAAATTGTGGGTTTTGTTTAAACTGTACATATGCTAACACATGAAAATATTGGGGTGTATATTCCTGTTAAGACCAGAGGCTATGTTATGACATTTTGTATTTGTGCTAACACAGAGAACCTATTGGGGGTGTATTTTCTTGTTAATATCATTCAAGTTGTCTCATTATTTGTATGTACACATTGTGTTTTCACAGGGAAATATTGGGGTGTATTTCTATAAATTGTCTTAGAATTTGCATGTACATATGATGTTATCTCCGGATATATAGGATGAATAATTTATAATCATGTATAATCATATAAGTTTTCTTATAATTTCCATGTTAACAGGAAGGTATTGTGGTTATTTTCCAGTTTAAACAGTATAAGATGATTTGTAATGCATTTTTGTTTGCTAAAAGCTACATTTTTCATTACCTGTCCTATTATCTGTATCACAATTTTGTACCTTTTTCATTTTTCCTAGAAAACACTCTGTTCACTTGTTTTTATAGAACATAGGATAATGCTCATCCTTTATATTACCTCTTTGATATTATTATCATTGCTTTTATTTTATGTCTCTTTGCACTAAGATTTACTGTCTTCATGTTTTCGCTTCAGAAAAAAATGTTATTTTATGCATTGAACGTTTGTACTTAGTCTGATTTGATATCTTGTTTGTTCTTATGTCATTTTTCTATGCCTTAGTATCTATGTTATTCTTTACGCAATTGTATCCGTACCGTGTAAAATTTTCATTCCAATTTGTTTTGCCTGCTTTCTTGCCTTTTCGGTTGGACATAGTTGTGGACATGTTCGTGTCCAACTTTCTGTCATCCTTTGAGATATTATGACACAATTTGCTAGTCTTATAGTTTTTAGTCATTTTTGATTAACTAAAGTTTATTTACCCTTTTCTAAAATAAAGTCGTCAATCCATTTTTGTCAGACCTTACTTTACACCTTCCCTTACTTGTGATGGCAGAAATAAAACTTTAAAGGCGTTCAGGCAAAGCAAATATAAAAAACATTACTAGGCATGTTCATACCGTTTTTTTCTTCATTTTATCTTAAATTGATTTTTAGAAACACTCGACCTTAGAAGCATGGAATACATTAAAATCAAATGAAATAGTTAAAAGCTGAACAAAATTACATTTCTTTTATATATAGCTTTTATTTAATTGAGCAACAACATCAAGACAACTATCAACAAAAGAATTCATAAATATAAAAATAAACAAAATTACTAATAACAAAAACATGGCTTTAAAATGTTTAATTATTCTCCAAATAACTTTTACTATTAAGAGTTAAGTATATTTTCCTCAGTGAATATTCATTTGGTTAACTCCCTTTGGTCAAAATTTAATAGAAGTTACATTATGCTGTTTTTTTCGTTGTCAATTTTAAGATACTCTATGGACATATTTGATATTTGAAAACATTTATGACTGATACAGTCTCTTGTTAAATATAAAATAAATATGTTTTGACTTTACACAAAGTAGGTAAGTTATGTTTCAAACTCTACACACTATAAGTAGTCACAATATGAATATATAGTGTCATTTAGAAAACAAAACAATAAAAAACTGTCATTATTTTTTTAAAGAAAGGACCAACTTTACTTGACCCGCAATAGGTAATGCAGCTTCCCATACATAGTTTGTACATTATTTTAAAATTTGAATTTAACATATTCAGTAAGAATTTCTTAGATTATACTAAATTTCTGCTTGAAATATATTTTACGTAAAGTAAAGCAATGTATATCCTTAATTAAATTAGCTTTATTTTTTAAAAAGATTGATCATAATTGTCATTGACAAATGAGTGACAACGGGAAATATTTACGAGAACACATAAAAACTGTCTGAATCGCAAAAAGACTGCTACACTCCTTTATTTCAGTTGAACATTACCGGTAAATTCATAGAATTTTCCGTGAGTCACATGGGTTAGTAATTTATACATGTGAAGTAGATAATAAAATTGAAAATACCTATGACAAAATGTAATTAAACTTTGACATTTACCCGGATATTCATCATTTATTCTTGGATGAGCATAATGTCACTTTAACAATTTGAAATAATTAAATTTAAATTATCATTTCTATTCTACTATTCTACAAAATTAAGTTATCAAACAGATAGAAATATAATAGAAATATATAAAACATTTACTTTGATCACTGTTAGATTACAGATAAGGATAATCATCCATTTATTGATATAAATGTATATAAATGTTTAAAGAAAACACCTGAATTAAAGTAATGTTTTTTCAACTGCTAATATTTAAGTTAGTAGCAAGTCATCTTATAATAAAAATATTAAAACATATCTTTCAACCACATTGATCTTGTCGTGAAATCAAATAAAATTCGACACTTGCATGTTTTAATGAATTATTGATGTTCTATCGCTGTAGACAATACCATAGCAGTATTTAGTAAGAAATAAACACAGTCATAATCATTTGTATATTTAAGCCCAATTCTAAACCTTCTTCTTTTGTTGTTTCCGATTTCGCTTATACCAAGAAGACGGGGCCTTCCGAATAGGCGCGACAAAAGCTTTCTTGTTAAAATCTATTGACGCATATTGACAGTTGACGAGTTTCACAAAATCAGGAAGATCGTATGGTCCACAGTTTTGTTCCTTCAGATATGCTTCACAGTTAGTATGGTCCAGAACAGCATACTTTAGACTTTTACTACTTGCCATTCGCTGAAAACATAAGTTTTACAGTCATACATTTATTTTACCTCATATTGTTTCCAACAGACATCGCTTTTCTTCAATTAAAAACAGATAATTACATTTATGTATTTCATTATATATCGTATACGTTGATACAAAATAGTAACTAACTGAATATTTTCAAATTCCACTTTGCTTTTTACTTACTAATTTCAATTGAGAAAACCTTCTTTTTTAAATTGTTGTCATTTCAAATAAACTTGTGCGAGAAATTTAAATCTTGTGAAAGCACTTTTTATATCCGACTTATAAAAGTCTTATATGAAATCAACAATTCATGCAATATCTAAAATACCATCTTATTTCATTTTCTGTATTCCTACATTACCTCACTCCTCCGTCTCACTGCAAGGTTACAATATTTTGCTGGCTCATCTAACGTGACTATTTCGTTGTTCCCCAGCTTTGTAACAATGTTTGCATAGTCAATAGCAGGAAATTTAACATTATATTCATTCGTATACGTTGTGTCTTTCTGTTGTTTAACAGCTTCTTTAGAAGTACCAGTAACGTTTTCTTTTCGTTTTTGAACTTTGGCATATACTGGACGTTTCACTACTTTAGAATACTCTGGTATAGAGTCGTTCAGTATATCTTCCTTGTCTCTCACGTCTTCTGAACGATATTCCTTTTGACTTATCGTTGCATAATCGTCATCATCTAACGAACCATTCTTGCTAGCCCCAGGTATTGGGGCATTCACTTTGGAATGTTTTGTATCCTCCTTTATCATGTCGTATTCTAATTCAGTGTCATGTTTTATTGGTTTTGCATTGGATGGGCGCTTTGGAAGGGCAGGGGATTGTTGCAATGTTAACAGAGATAGTTTCGAATTGTTGAAACCGTGTTTGTCTCTCTTACTAATGTCAGTATCAATTTCGTTGTATATATTACCTGCAAAATAAGCATTTGATATTATTCTATCAGTAAAATGTGTAGTGAAAGTGTTGAGTGAACCATGATAAATCCCTGTCGATGTACAACATCATCAATACTTGTGGATATTAAATTTACATTTAATATATCATTATCTTTCCTAACTTTTGTTTAGATTAATTGCTGCGTTAAAGATTTTATTTATGCTCACAGAAATAGTTATTTGCAATACAATTTTACTTATTCATAATGTGGTTCTTAAAGCTAAAAAAGCTGTCTTATTTATTTATTTGCCACAATTATAATGTAAAATACATACTGGTCCTGGCACAATTCGACATACTTGGCTCGGTATCCCTATGAAGGTGTCTGCAAGAAAAGAATCATATTGTGAATTAACAACCCATAATGCCACCATATCATATTTCAGTTTTATCCTCGCGTAAACTTTTGTTAAATATTTCACATTTCTGCACCGAAAAGAGGTTTCTAAATATTTCTTGGAAATAAGATCACCCCAGTGTATACTTTTTCCTGTGGTCACAAAATTGATCAAACTTAAATTTATTTTTTTTTTAATTTCTATCATTTCTATGTTATGTTAGATTATTTGAACTTTTGCGTATACTGGATCATTAGACACATCATATTATTACTGCATATTATCATTGTCTGATTACAATTGTGCACTTTCATCTTACGATGAATACAATGTAAACATAATTCATTAGGTGATTACTGTTAGAGCATTTTTTATTTTACGAAAATGTTTTACTTTTGACTTTGCTGGCAAGATTGCATATTCCTTAATTATATTCTCAGTCGTGGTTTTTGTTGTTGTTGTTGTTGGTTTTTTTTTTGTATTTTTTTTTTGGGGGGGGGGGGGGATTACAGTTTCGTAAGTATGCGATTTGGAGTTGTAAATGTTTCGTTAGTTTTTGAAATAACAATACAGTTTTGTGTTGCCAATAGTTAAGTTGAACCTTTTTCTTTTAATGCCATACAATATTTCATTTGAGATAATAACATCGTTTGCTTTAAAATGGTATAGAATAATATTTCACTCATATGTTACTCATGTTCGTAGTTTGGCCTGTTTTTTCCCAAACTCAATGACTCTTTTTCGTCTTTCAATAATTTCCCAAGTTTCAATGATTTACTTCTCAATTAACATGTCAATACAGTGCATATTCAAACTTGTCATTTTATGTTTCTCCTTAAGTTTTTATAGTTAAGTGTTTATGAATATTATAACTGTCCTTTAAGTATGTTTGAAGATTTAAATTATAAACAGACCTTCTTTTCTTATTATTTCTAAAATAAGAAACTTAAATGATAGCTACTTACGCAGTGGAACTGTCTTCATGGCTCGCCAAACGAGATAATGCTTAAATATAAAAGCAACAATCTATTATAAGCAACTAATTAACTCAATCTTTTCTTCCTTTTTTGCACTGACAGCAATTTGAATTAAATAATTCAATGCTTTTAAAAGTGAATAGAAGCATTATATGTACAGTGTATGCATATAATAAAGCTGTATTTCAATGTGTCAATTTTTTTAATCTTGGTATTATTCTTTTTTTTTGTCCAGCAACATATCATGTTAAATATATGGCATATATATATTTTTTTTCTTTGTAATGATCTATTGTTAGTTTTGTATGTTCTTCATCACGGAGCTCAAATAAGTAATATTTTTAGTGAAAAATATAGTAATATGTGTCTAAACATATACGATATGACAAACATTCTAAGTGTGTGACATATGATTAAGTCTCCCAACATATCATATGAATGACTAGCGTCGCAAGTGTGTGATTTATGTGCATTTACAGTTTCCGCCGGAAACCATATGCCTGACTCACTACAGAAGTCCGATTTTAGAGAAGGATTCGATGGGTTCGAAAAATACACGATTCTAGAGGAAAAACCAACAGTATTGACAATGTGTAAAACACCGTCTAACAGATCCTCATCCGAATCGTGCTTTCGTAATTTTATATCGGAGTAGCACGGGATTTAACTCGCTATATTTTCATTTAAAGCCACACCAGTTTAACCACTTGCCACAATTGATTATAAAGTGCTTAATTGCTTAAACGGCGACAGTAAAGTATGTCTACGTGATGTGATATGATCGGTTTCAAAGAAAATGGTAATTGTTTGACGTCATCTTGTCCGGCTAACCGAATTTCGTCGATTTGTAAGGATAACTTATTTGATCATTATGATAAAATGTACAATTAGCAAACACTCGATATTTCATATAATATCATTCAATGATTTCAAAGTGAAGTGAATTTTTACAGTCCTAGTAAGTCATAAAAACAACTACGAAAACATTAAAATTTGTAAACAAAAACATTTGGATTATTATTTTACGAAATAATGGTCAAATTCAACTTGAGGTTATCAATGACATAAGACAGCAAGATCGCTGAAAAATGGACCAGATGAAATCAGATATTGTTTGTTACATAATACATACCCCTGTGAGTTATTCCCCTTTTACGTACAACAAATATTACCGTTCCGGCAAAAACCAGCACGACAATCACGGAACATATCGCCACGATAGTAATGACTATGCTAGTAAATACAACGCTTGGTGTTTCCCCCACCTCCGCCGTCGAAGGAGTATATCCAGTACTGTTAACATGAATTCTTGTTGTTTGTGAAATTCCACTGTATGTTGAACTTTCTATGTCACATCCTAAATCTTAAGAGGGAAAAGAAAACCATTTTTAAAAACTTATAATTGCATTGGTTTTACACATGTTTATGTTTTTTCAAAAGCATAGCTCAATGCCAAGTTAAACGTATATTGGTAAATTGTCTGTCTGTTTCTTTGTGTAGTTTTAACTACAATATAATACATGTATAATATACCATAACCTTTCTACTTTTAAAGTTATTTCAATTATCACTCGTTAAGGTTAAAGACCCTTGCTGAATTATCGAAAAAAACATCGTAAACACGAGGTTATTCGATATGTTCGAGTAAACATAGCCCGACCCCTCCAAGTAAAATTCAGAACGTCGAGTGTATTTGTATCATCATTATACTTTCCGTGCCGTCATAATATGTAAACCCCAGACAAATGAGGCCAATCCACGAGCATGCAAACCTCGATACGCTATATGTACATGTATCACCATCTAGTTATTATCTGGTTCTAGATTTTGCAAGCAATGGATATTTGATTATATAAGCATTTAAAGTTGTTCGTCCATATCCTTCTGGATTTATAAAACGGGTTTGAAAATGTGATAAAAAATTATTTGTCAAAACTAAAACTAGATATCATTACAATTTTTAACTTTCTACTATTTTACACTCTAAATCCAGTGCAAAGCTTTTATTGATATAGTTTCATATTATCCTTCTTTTGCAATAGAATAATTGACTTATTACGTTTAGACTAAGAAGTTGTGACTGTGAACCCAGATTAGCTTGTTGGAATTAGATATCGTTATATATTTAATATTATAAACAATTCATTGGTAGAAACACACCTATTTAAGCTGTACCAGCCAATGGAATATCTTTAAGATTGAACGTTTTAAACAGCACATTGGTTGAAACATACCTAACCCAGCTTTGCTATCCAATGAAATATCGTTCCTACTTCTGTAAGTCTGCCCTTGATACACACAACCCAGGGGATATTTGCCAGCGTCTGATTCATTAAGATTATGAATAGTAATTGAGAAAACATTCTCCTCATATTTTGCTGGCCTAACATCATGACTTATACGAGTATATTGCCCGTTCGAAAAATACCACCACCTTAAATCATTGTCTTGAACAGAAACTGCGATGAAGTCATTTGGAACAAGACTAATTTTAGCATCGGCATGGTTTCCGTGGCAATAATACCCTATCGTCAGGTTTCCACATGCTGAAATAAAAGATATAATCCTTATCACACGAAATATCTTAAAAAGACTTGTTCATCTTCCAATCTGGACAAAACCATTCATCATTTTTTGGAGCAGTACTGACTAAAGGGCGACAAGTGTAGACCATAATAAGACAACACGGATGTGCTGGCTAATCTTGGTCTGTGTAGTTTTTTTTTTAATTTGTACTGTACCTTTTTAAAAAAATGGGAATATCTTCTGCATATCAAGACACTAAAATAAAGCAGACGACCGTATGGAGCCTGTATTGACTATAAACATGTACTTGTGGACAAGTGATTATTACTGCTCTTACCACGCTAAAACTATTCACTTGACATGTCCATCTAGTATATCCAGTAACGCAGGAATGTGAAAATAACGCAGAATTCGTGCAAAAAGTAACGCAGAATTGTACAATAAATGGCGGATACCAAACTGCAAAAAAGGAATAGCCGCATACTGCTGCGAAGACATTTTACTTTATCACTCATCAAGATTATTTCCACGAAATTGCTTACTTTTCAAGATCATTAGTGAAAATGATGGCCTGACCACCGTTTTGAGTGGGATTTTGGCTTTTTGTCGGCTCATAGTTTGTCAAGATCTAATTATCCTATATTTCTTAATAAGTTACGAAGAAAAAACATTGAATAGGTCACAAAAACTTGATCATATTCGCCGATAAAAGGCGTTAAACCTATGAAAAAAAACATTTTCCGGCGTTAAGGCGAAGAGCTATTCACGCACATCGGCGTTATCTCATAAAAACAGCTTGAATCACATATTAACAGCTTATTTTTATTTTTGTTTGTCAACAGAAGTTAAATAAATGTCACTTGCCTACCAAGCATGGAAGTTATTCGATATAATAATATACTCATATGAGTCGACAAAAAGCCAAATTCCTCAAAAAGGCGGTCAAGCCATCATTTTCACGAATGATCTTGAAAAGAAAGCAACTTCTATGCGGGATAAAGTATAATGTCTTCGCTATTCCTTTTTTGCAGTTTTGTTAAATGATAAAGTATATTGGCCAGTTGACTTATCGCGTTGGAAATCCTTTCCGGTATTCGCCTATTATTGCACAATTCTGCTTACTTTTTGCACGAATTGTGCCAAACTCCTCACACTGATTACCTCCCTTGGCAGAATTGTAATCACTGCCTTCACAGACGTCACATGATGTTGAAGTTACATGATGTAACGTCGAAATTCAAATGTAAATATCGACCGTTACATAGAAAATCTAACGTCATTTTTCTCTTTCTGTTTTATTTTTAACTTTTTGTATCTACGTCCGTTATATTTTATCAAAAAATTATCAAAAGTATACAAAATAATGAAAAATAAATTAAAAAGCTAAAAAATATAAATATCCAAATATTGATATTTGGCATAGATCTCTGTACTGATAAGGGGAGATCACTGCGTAGGAGATTGGAATCGTGCGTCAGTTTCACATTCCGGCGTTACTGGATATACACGGTGTTGTCAGTCTCTCAATTTATACAAAACTATTCACCAATTATTTACCGGTATAGTCTGCCGGCGTCCGTAAATAAATTGAAAAACAAGTAAAACCAGTGTCATTATTGGATTTCAATGAAAATAATATTAATAATAATAGTAAAAATTATTATTATTATTATTATTATTACATAATATATTTCATCATGTATTTCTAAAATTTTGAACGAATTATCGTTTGGTGCAGAAATATTTTCAATGTTCATGTATAAAATATTCTCTTTGTAAAATATTTTAACATCCTTATGATGATGATGATAATGTTGTTAGTGATTGATTGATTGATTGATTGATTGATTGATTGATTGAGTGAGTGAGTGAGTGAGTTGGTGAGTGTGTGAGTGAGTGAGTGAGTGAGTGAGTGAGTGAGTGAGTGAGTGAGTGAGTGAGTGAGTGAGTGAGTGAGTGAGTGAGTGAGTGAGTGAGTGAGTGAGTGAGTGAGTGAGTGAGTGAGTGAGTGAGTGAGTGAGTGAGTGAGTGAGTGAGTGAGTGAGTGAGTGAGTGAGAAACGAACAAAAAATCAAACAAACAAACACACAAACAACAACAACAATAAATACATTTTTGATAAACATATGCTGCAACAACCAACAAACAATTACAACTTTTTCAAAAGTTTTTTTTACTTACTTACTTTATTTACTTACTTTTTACTTCAGCCCTAGAAGGTGTAAAAATAGCTAATATCACAACTATTTTGATAAACATAGCATTGTGTATTCCACTTCGTCTAAAACGCGTGTCAGTAAAACATATATTTCCATGGATACGTAATATTTCTAAAATAAATTTGTAAGCCGCCATGATAATTACACTTCATTATTTAAATAATCGCTCTTCATACATTGTTTCACAAACGATTGTTTTTACTGAAACTTTGAAATAAGTACTTAAAATTAAGGAAAGTAGACAGGAAAGAGTAATCAAAATATATTTAATGTATAGATAAAACTACTTGACCACGCACGAAAACTTATGAGTCAATATATACACTCACTGTTTGTAATGGTTTTTAGATTGTAAGTCAATAAAGGAATCATGTCATTTGCAAAAAAACAAACAAGATATACGTGCGAGTTCTCGTGTTTCCGGTCCAGCTGCCGTAACCGGAAGTTGTAAGACTGTGTTACCAGTGTATCAGTGTAGAGGAGACTAGCTTGTACATATGTGCAGTCTGATTAGGACCTTCACTTTCGGTAACTTGATTCTTGTATCTTGATGTTGAACATCCCTTAAAAGGTCTCTGACCAAGAATAGGCATGTTATTTTTTGTTTGGCAATAGATTTTTTGAGTAGATTACAATCGACATTATATTTTAATGTATCCTTCTAACATGAATTAAACGTGATTTAGAAAGTCGTTTTTATTTCGAAACGCCATAATTTCCGCGGGTAAAAGGTTAAGCAAACTCTGCAATGTTGACTTGTTTATTCATCTACAAACAAGTACCATTACTTTTTTATAAAAATGAAACATATTTAAGAATACTGATAAACAAGATTTCACATTTCATCATGGTCTGTACCTTTAAATTTCATTTTTTTATCAAGGGCCAGTACCTTTAATATAATTCATCACAGGAAATATTGAAAAAGATAACATGATTGCATACACTCCTATATGAAAACACTTTATACATTTAAACGTATCCGAAAGTTAAAAAGTGTGACGAGTTTATTTTATATAACCACTAAGATTTCACTTAAACAACAACAACAACAACAACAAAAGCAAAAGTGAAACATTCACATCTAGAAATTTAAAAAGGTCTTTTTTAATAACTTTTGTTAATAAATTTACAGTGTCAATAAGTGTACTATTGTAATCTATTCAAACCTTAGACATGGTCCAAAATATTGCAAAGCATATGATAAGATCCAGATTAAAAAATGTTATTTGATCCCGAATATAAAAGGCATGTGATATGATCCTGTATTAACAAGGTTTGTTATATGATCTAGATTAAAAATATATGTTTTATGATCTAGATTAAAAGAAAAAAACATGCCATATGATCCAGAAGAAACAGGACTTGTGATATGATCTAGATTTAAAAATGCATGCTAAATGATTAAGAATAAACAAGGCATGTGATATATATGATCTAGATTAAAAATACAGGTTATATGATCCAGAATAAACCTGACATGTTTTGCATATTTCAAAAGAGGAACCATTTGATTACATCTGGAAACTTCGATTCTTGTATATTTAAAAAAAATCATATTTATATAAACTAAAGAGTGAGAGCAAAAAAGTGGAGGAATGATAAAAGCTTCATTACATTAAGCAAATTTTAGAATTGCTATCCCGAAATACAGATCGCTGCGCCGCAAAGTTTTTAGACGTAGCCATTTCTCTGTGAGATATTTTCATTTTTCCGTATCTCGTTTGTTTCTTAATTAATTTAACTGAAATATTCCGAGATGATGTCATCACAACAGCAGAGGAGGTCAACGTGATATTGTGCAGACACATCATCAGATGTCTTATATATACATAATTTACTGAAGCCTATTTAAAGTATTTATAACAAAATGAAAATAATCTGAAGTGCCCTGAGAGCGCAAACCAATTTCCTTAATGATGAAAATATTATGTAGCTAGAGCAGTTATTTTGTAAATGGTTTAATATACAAGTATAATAAACTAACAGGTGATATATGTGAATTATTATCTACAGACGTTAAAAACATATATCTTTTATTCCTTCATTGAATGAAGAGCAGAACAAGCATACAGAAGTATCACACATATATACAAAATTATGACAATTCAACAAACATAATATAGTAGTATGCCAACAAACTAGCCAAATATTAATAACATTGTACTAATTCTTTGAAACTACACAAATGTATTTTGAAAACACGTAAACATATCTATCAAATACGAATATTAAGTGTCAGTTAAAAGGCCAAGACTACGGACTGAAGTAAAATTTCATTAGTTGGTAGAATAATTGTTTAGATACATTTGTGCCACCTATATCAAGATAACAATTTAGTATACCATTCAATAATAATAGTCAAAATATTGAAGATAATTGAGGACATGAGAGACACTACTTTTTCATGGTTAATGCAAAATTTTATTTGCTATAACAGTCTATATCGAAATTATTGAACTGAAAAAATCATCAATATAGTAATACCTTTAACAACAGCTTGCTTAAGTACGAAACGAAAACATTAAGCTGAACGGACTTTTGGGACAACCCTCGTAAAACAAATAAGATATAAGAGTCATCGATATCAATCATAGTATTACATACTAGTATTACATGAAATACTATTATAATATTTTATAAGTAACAATTTTCCAACAATTTTTCCACCGATTCACAATTCTGTGTTTTGTGTCTATTTCAGGCATATCCGTAATAACTGCCGTTTGTTCATTATTTCATTGGTGTTTGTTTCATGTCGCATGGTGAAGATTGTAGCAATATCAAATGATACAATTACACAGCTAATTCAAAATTAGGGTCTAAATTATCATAGTCATATTCTCTTTTTCTTCTATTAAAGTGTTTTCTCTCCGACGTTTGTTCAGCATCTGAACCTAAAATATAAAATACAGAAATGTATGTTTTGTTGCACAAAGAGATGAATGTAGCTAGGCAACAGTTTTATTCAAGGTCATTCTACTTTTTGTCAGTTTAAACAAAGTGCCTACAATTGTTCGATAATTCTACATTGCAATATTAGGAATGCATTAAAATAAGCTTACAACATGTCGATTATTCATTGTAATTCTGTCCTAAAAGGGCAATAGCGCATATGCGTTTATCAATTAAAAAATAAACAGTATATAATTTTACTGAGGTCCATTGAAAACAATGAAATTTAAACGGTGTACATCATAGTATGCACGGAGGCCCTTCAAGAGTAATGAAGTATTTTTGGGCTCAATAGCTTTGTTATTTCTTGACGTTCAACTAAACGAAGTCCGACTTCTTTGCACGCATAAAGTAACTAACATACCATTAGGTTCACCCCACCGACTTTCGGCTGAATCGTTCATGCTTGTTTACTAAAAAGAGTATATGAATTGGATATGATTTTGTTGCTCTGATTTGAGAGTAACGATTACTCGACGGGTTATGACACAACACTTTCATGTGGTAACTTGTGTTAATTCAGTATGTAAGATACGTACATAAACAAGCAAATCTACAAACAAAAATTACAATTACGACGGTCTGTTAAAACTGATT